AGCCAGTGTATCCCTTGCAGACGAACGAATGAGTATAAATCAAATATAACGTATATTATATTAGAAGTGCTCTTCCGCAGTTTTTTTTTTTTTTTTCGCAGCTTGCACGAAGCCGTGCTCGTTCAGTTTCCCTCATACGATAAAAGTGCTTATATTAATTTGAACGCGAAACGCCGCGCATCAGCTTTCTGGAATGCACTTCTGGGTAGCGGAGAAATTATTCTGAGGTTAAAGCTCTTCAAAGATCGAAGAAGTTATTGCTGTTTGAGCAAACAACGGGATCTTCGCCGACGAGGTAACGGCTTCCTATTACGAAGATAACGGCGACATTAAAAATTTCAACTTCTCTTCCTCGACAGTTCTGATAATTAACGTGCTCTTTATCTTCACGAAATTTCCAATGTTTCTCACGAGTTTGAGAAACAATTCCGTTTCCGCTGTTGAATATTCTGTTTACATCGTTTTGAATCGGTCGTATAGCCGAGATATCGATATTTCTGCAAAAGATGGTGAATTTAGTAGCTACTTTTAAAGATTCAATGCTTTTGTGGAATTTTAGAAACTAGCATTACAATTATTATTCTAATGTTGTATTGTATTTTAATAATTTTGTATCTATGTATATTACAGTTTAGTAGACATTCATATTCGTGATACTGATGCAATAATTTTTAAATGTCTACCAGTGTTTAAAAACGAAAGCAAATGATCGAAACACAGTCATTTTAAATGCCTGATTCTCTGTAATCTCATGAATTTATTACACTAATACTTGGCTTGTAAACGCAAAGAAATCTACTAAATAAAAATACACAGTTCTCGCGTTGTAATATTCAAAAGAAAGTAAAACAGTTCTTTCACCTAGTTCAGTACAAATGTGTCGCTTGCATACGTCGTTAAGGATTAACTCGTAAATATATACATCAGCAAGTTGTTCGGTGTTCCACGTGTGTGATGCTTCAGTGACGAAGCTCCTCGTCGGCGAACGAGGAGCTTTTGCTAATTTCCAAGATCACCGCTCTGCCAAATAACCCGGCGACGTCTGACATCGCTGATATAATAATAATCATCATCCGTAATTCTTGTATCGGGTAATAATGCCAGTCGGCGTGGCCTGGATGTTTTCCTGGGTGGTGCCAGGTGCGATGGCCGAACGACGTAACCGATTGCCGCATTGCCGATGTCGTGCCTGCCGTAACTACGGTACACGGGGTACGTGTACCCTGGTCTACTACCTGCGCCAACCTCTGGCTCTCTCTCCAGGGGTGGACGACTTATCGACCTGGTGCTAGTCGTGTCAGGCCTACCACCTTTATCTCATCGGCAGTCGAAATCACGAAATTCGTTCGATTTTTACGTAATTCGAGGATCGAATTTCAAACGGAGTCAACGATTTCTGCGATTATCATTAAGATCTTGTTTTTTCTTCGCGCCATACGAACTGCTGCCTCTCGACTAGACTCATATGATTTTGTTGTACGTTACAAATCTACGCTTTGCCGATTAATTTTCCATTTCTAATACGGAATATAATATTTTCGTAACTAGATCCGTTTAACCATGTTCTTTGTTGCAATATTTTTGACAAATTTTCTTTCCCTACATTTCTTTTTCTTTTTTTTTTTTTTCATTTTATCCTGCATTGGGAAGCATCCATGTCGAAAGAGAAGTTTCTCGATGTCTACAATAGATGTATTTTATCTTTCTCGGAGAGGAATGTCTTTCATTATAAAAGTACACTCTTCATTTTAATGATTGTCTTCTTTTTCCTACTTCTTTACGATTTACAAGGAATACTCATTTACAAAAGACTGTTTTAGCGAGGGAAGTACGAGCGGCACTCGTACACACAGTGACTGAAAACGATCGATCGAGTCGGAATTTTCAAGCTCTGAAGTGTGTGTTGGCGCGTGTTGATGCGTGCCGGAGCAACACAGTATAAAATTGTCTCGCCTAGAAATTAAAATTACATCGTACGTGCAATTAATTTGTCTTTCTCCTTTGTGATCTCGTTCAAAGTCGTGCGACTTAATTAATTTTTCATAAGTCATTCCACGAATGACGCGAAGTAGCTTCCATCTCTGTCAGAATTAATCAAAGAGAAGGTGGACA